ACACGGCTCTGTGGAATACTTGATTCTGATTGGTCAGTCGCGTCATTCTGAGGTATGTTATCCCTCGATAACAACCTGTAAAAGCTGATAACACAGGCTCATCTGGGTAAATGAAGTCGGCGCTATATGCTTGAACAGTTTTTCTTTGTGGAAGCTTTGCATTTGGCTAGCCAATAAAATATTAAAACTCAATTCAATATTATTTGTACAATTATTTAATGTCATCCTGGAATTGCACTCGCTCTCTCGTTTCATACAAACAAAGCTGCTGCCATTCTGCACGACTGTGTATACTGTAATGGATTATAAGATAACTAACAAACTGGTAAGATTTTAAAACAGTTTTGTCTTAAATATCTTATAAATATCACCTTATTTATGTGGTGAAATGTTGTGTAATAAGTGGTATGACTGCACGGTACCGTATCCCTTAAATGTCCATCTAGTTTGAACTTGCCACTTACTTGCAACTGCTGTCTTCACGGAAGCTTTGTGTTCAAATATTTCAACTCAAATCAATATTTTGTGCCTAATTATTTTCTTATGTGGCAAGTAGCCATGTAATGAGTGGGATCTTTCGTGTCCTGATCACCCTGTCGGGGGTTATTCTGCGATAACAACCGGCTGGATGTACATTATCCCTTACTTAGCATTATAACGGCATCACAGACTTCTGGTGGAGAAACAGTCACACCTTCATTATTATCAATATTGCCCACTGCAAAGGAGTTACTTTTAACATAGTTGAACAGCTCATAATAATGTTTTTGCCACAACTGTGTAATTTCCTCTGAACTGCTTACCCCTTCGATATTCGTTGGTGTAAGGATCCACCCGCCGGCCCAAAAAGCGAAATTCAGCGGCCTGGTCGAAGGTTTTCTGCGTGTATGTCTTATGTGGTGCTTCTACAAGAAATTATCTTAAATCATTCAAATTTGGTTTCCAATCAAAATTCTGACTCCATAAATAATTTAATCTGACTCCAATTGTAGATGATTCTTTCATTTTTAATTTGTGTTTTTAATTTAAAACTGATCCCAGCTATCGGTTGTGTAATAATTTAAGATTTGAGTATTCTGGAAATCCCATACATTCAATTCTTCGTTCATTAGGGACCAGGTATCGCACAGGAATTGCACTCGGCCGATTAGTGAACCCACGGACACAAACTCGTCAGTTCCGAACTTACTCAGAGGATGCAGAGTGGCTATAATACCTTTAAGTGAGCTGCACCCTGCATGCTCATATCAAAAATTTTATTTTTCCTATAACCACGAGAGCTACACCGTGTTAAGCCAGTGACAGTCAGAAATCAGAAGCCCCTAATGATGTTCCCCATGGTTCATCCATTGGTGCTTCAGTATGATCTGTCCTGAACGCAGATTTGCGCAAATAGAACTACACATTAATCCACTTTAAAAATGATTTCTAGAAAACCCAGAATAAAATAAAATTACCATAAATTTATGCCAGGCGTAATCAAACAACAATAAAAAAACAATAAAGAAGAAATTCAATCAATCCAAAATGAGAATACATCAGTTTACTGGAAATGCATTAAAATGTGGTTACACAACTGATCAGCATGAGTCACAAACCTAGAATACTAAAATAATTTAAAAGAGTCAGCATACCTGGCAAACATACCTGGCATACCTGGAGACACACGGCAATCGTGCAGGGAAGTTCTGTTTACGGATGCTTCCTTAAATGTTTTGCCAATTCTCTTTAAATACCCAAATCAGAAAAAAACAACCATAAATTTAAGATGATAAAAACTTCACAGAACTTTTGCTGGGACATTAAGTGACCTGAGAAAAAACAACATCTGGAAAGGACCTTAGCACAGCCCACACCAGAAGAACAGAATTTTCTACAGATTTGAGATTTTTATTTTTGGTCTGTTCTACTGATATGAGACTGAGATCATATTTCCAATCGCACCGGGACTGTAAAATTGATACCAAACATGAAAGTGTTATGCTTATGAATTCTGAAGATATATAAAATGCATGATGTAAGTATAGTAGCTTGAGTTCTTGACACCCCTAAGTCAACTTTTATGGCCTGGGCCATCTGCTAATCTCCTGATTTTTGACTTCACGAGGAGATCAAAGCCCCCTTACATTGGCAAAGATGTTTTACAATAATTTTTCTTTTGATTTCTTTCCAGAAATCATTTGAATTATTATTTAGCAGTTTCCTATAAGTGAGTCAGCCCTCATTGTATATTCATATTATAAATAATATTTTAAAAAATGACTTTTTAAAACTTTAGTTAAAGCCACCATCTTAAATTAAGGGAATTAGGACCAGATTTAATAACAGATTGCACCACTGCAAACCCTCTTTTGGCATTAAAAAACTACAATTTAGGATTTACTAAAGACACGCAGTGAAAAATTAGCGATCAAAGGACTTTATATGTGTATTTTTAGGATTTTCCCTTTCAGATGCTAAATTGATGATAGGAGAATATTTGAATGAATCATGCAAGGTGATTTACTAAGGTATGTGTTAGTCAATTTAGTGGTATTTACACCACTATTTAACGGCCCAAAAAAGTTGTTAGTAGATTATGTGCACCTGATTATGACATCAGTTCTGCTTGTTCGGCTGTGTATAGCCACAGCCATCTCACCCTGCAGTCCAAGACTGGTTGCCCACTAAAGCTAAGCAGGGTTGAGCCTGGTCAGTACCTGGATGGGAGACCTCCTGGGAAAACTAGGTTACTGTTGGAAGAGGTGTTATTGAGGCCAGCAGGGGGTCCTAACGCCCCAGTATAGTGATGGGGGCACTGTCCTTTGGATGAGATGTTAAACTGAGGTCCTGACTCTCTGTGGTCATTAAAAATCTCATGGCACTTCTTGTAAAGAGTAGTTTAGTGTCCTGGCCAAATTGCCGCCACTGGGCCTTGTCAATCATGGCCCCCTAATAAACCCATCCACTTGATTGGCTCTATGACTCTCTCTCCACCTGTAGCTGGTGTGTGGTGAGCGCACTGGCGCCGTTGTCCTGTGGCTGCCGTCGCATCATCCAGGTGGATGCTGCAAACTGGTGGTGATTGAGGAGAAATCCCCCCCACCCTTCCCACATGATTGTAAAGCACTTTAGGTGTACAGCAATACACAATAAAGCGCTATATAAATGCATCATTCATTCATTTATTGTTAGTGACCTGACTATAAATTGCCCTGCTCTGGGTGGATTATGTTTATTATGGAAATATGCTTGGATCGGTGTTCTCTAATTTGAGCAATGTAAGAAGATCACCCACAGAACTTTCCACTTCCATTTGTGCTTTTATGGGATTGCATTCTTACACTAATTTGTCCTGTTTAGTAAATCTGGCCCTTAATGTGATTGGGCACAGGGGTCATGATATGCAGTAGACATAAGCATTTTACAGTGAGCCCTTTGAATTCAAGTGATGGCCCTGCCTTCTTAATGATAAACATTTAAGTTTATGTTGTTACATTTATGTTGTTACAAACAACAAAGCTTTACCTTCTCAAAAAATAATTTTAAGGAAAGATCTTGAGAAAGGAAAATAGGTCAAAGCTCTAGGTATGTCAGGTATCCTGACTTTCTTCTCTATTTGTTGAAATATGATATGTAACATAATAAGACCTTCTTCTAAATATGATGTCAGGACTCTGCATTATATTGTTAACTGTCGGTTCCACTTTTCGAGCATAGACCTGAAAATGACATTTCCAACTTAAACTGTTATAAACTTTCAATGCTTTGGACCACAGACTTATGGTTGGTCTCTTTTTAAAGAAGACACTTGGCAGATTATTGTAGAAGTGATAAAGATTATATGACAAAAAAATTTATGGAAGTTTAAGTTTATGAAAATATAAAATATAATAATTTAAATATTTATATTTTATATAAAATATATATTTTAGAAAACATGTTATACTCTAAAGTAATTCTAGCTAGAAAATCAAAACCAAAATTCTGAACAAGTTATGTTCCAAATTTGAGGTTGATATCTCAAAAAAGGAGCTTTCAGTGAGATTTTGTTTGGGCGTAGTACCAAGTTTTTCCACTAGATGACCATCAAACGCCATTAGTAACCATTTAAGAGCGCTTCATTTCCATATATGGTTTGAGCGATCTGAAACATGTTTTTCCATACTTTTCTCAATATTTATGAAGTAGACATCACAATCAGAAGTATTAAAGACAGTATGGCAGTATTTGATTTCAATTCAACCTCAAAAAAAACATAAAAGACATGCTACAAGAACCCTGGACTTGCATTATAGTTCACAATGCATCAAAAATGGAGAATCTATTGTTTTTTCTATAAGTTAAAAACACTTTTAGACCTTTTTTTCTCAAAAAAATAGAATGGATGTTATTTTATGAACACTCTCCATGAAAATGAATAAAGATTTTTACAGATTTTTCATGACTTCATATGTGCATCACTATTTCAAAGTAAAGGTCAGACTCTGATAAGCACTCTTCTTGCATATTAATAAATTACAGTTGCTCTGTAAAATATTTCAAAAATCGGTCATCAAATATCAAAACTAGAGTCTTTAAGCTTTCAACGATATATAGTTTGTCAAGATTACTTTAGGTTCAGACTAAGATATTACTGTTTAAAACATGTAATGGCAAGTGGGCCCACCGGTGCGCCCGTGACAGTTAACAGGTTAAGCAGTTTTTAATCCTTTTCAAATCATCTGGTGATTTGAGTGACGAAAATGTTGTATTGCATTGAACCACACGTGAAAGACCAAACAAGTTCTTAGAATAATCCCTAGGGTTTATTTGCTAGATCCTCACAGACCAGTTGTCATGAGCAAAAGTGTTATTTATAAGCAGGTCAGTGGTCATTACAGCCTCCATATCTTGACTGAGACCATATACTGTAAGATTTGATGACTGGTGTAAGGTAATAGTCGAATGGTTTTAGAAATCTGTCTTTTTGGATTTTTGTCTTTTATGTGGTTGATTTTCATGGCTAATGTTTGATGAACATGGATAATATAACATATTTTCCTACCTACACCCTGATGGAACCAAGAGACTCTAAATCATACAGACATATTTATTTCACATGCTTTTTGGTGCTCTATATTATGATACTTTTAGTTAACACTTGGGTCAGTGTTGTTATTGTCTTGGAAAAAGCCCTTCATGAACCAATGTACATTTTTCTGTGCAATCTGTGTGTAAATGATATTTATGGAGCCACAGGATTTTATCCTAAATTCCTACATGATTTAATGCTGGATTCATATGTGATTCCTTCTTACATGTGTGCATTTCAAGCTTTTGTGATCTATGCTTCAGTCATGTGTGACTGTACTACAATAACTGTGATGGCATATGACAGACATGTGGCCATATGTCGACCTTTAGACTATCATACAAAACTGAACAAATTTTCATGCAGTGTATTACTTTGCTTCTGTTGGATCCTGCCCTTTGTTTTTATGATCATTGTTCTTGTATTGTCAAATAGGCTGAAAATGTGTAAATATCACATTAATAAATTGTACTGTGACAATTGGTCTATGGTAAAACTTTCATGTGAATCAACTGTAATCAATAATATTTATGGATTTTTTGTTATTTCATTTTATTTTTGTCTGTCTGTTTTTATTATTTTGTCCTATATAAAACTTATCATTGCATGCAAAGCATCATTAGAGTGCAGAAGGAAATTTTGGCAGACATGTGTGCCCCATATGTTTACAGTGATTAATTATGTTATTGCTGTGTTTTTTGATGCCATGCACAGCAGATATGGCTCAAACAATGTCTCAGAGAGCCTGCAAAATTTTTTGGCACTAGAGATGCTTATTGTGCCACCTCTTGCCAATCCAGTAATCTATGGGTTAAAACTTCATGAAGTACGCAAAAGAATCTTTCAATCTTTTGTTAACATCAGACAACAATAAAAAAAAATACACTCACTCATTATTGTTCTATTTTTCTTGAATGTACTGTACAATATTAAAGCAAATGAGTAGTTTACATTGTTTACAATGCTGAGAAACAGCCATGTTTTAGGAAAAACTACAAGTTTTTAATAATATTTATAACGCCTTCATATGCTTGGATTTGAATTGTGTTCTCAATGTACAGCTGTGTCTTTCTGTGACATATTTAAGTGTTTATTCGGCGTGACCGGTGTCTGAAGCATACATCTAAACATGACAATGATATTGGCTGGCGACAGCCTATGACGTCACTACCGGCGCGACCACAGTATAAAAGGGCGCCGGTAGAACACGTCATCCTCTTCTTCGTCTTCACTGACCATTTGTTTATGTTAAGCACGACTAGGAATGCATGTTTTCTTGACAGAGGCTTTGCTCTGATACCCGCAGTTTCACACGGCTCGCGTTCTGTGTGTGATGAAGAGCAAGCGCGTTCAGCTCTTGAGGGAGGTGGATGCGCTCTGCATTCATTGCTTGTTTCTTGTGAGGGATAAGCATGAATTGAACACGCTCGTCTCACGAGGAGATGGCTTGTGCTCATCGTGATGCATTCACAAGACTACTGAGGGGGAGGTGAGTACGTCACCATTTACCCGAGCTTGTAGATAGTGTTCACTTCTCGCGGGAATAGCGACGCATTCGGCATGGTATTTCTTAATTCCATATTCATGGCAGATGTGCATGCCAGCCTTTGTGCACCTTCTTAAGCTGTTAGCCCGCACCTGGACGCCAGCGTACTGAACGCTCTTTGTTTGCACGTGTCAATGTTTACGAATAGATTGAATGAAAAGGGACATCATTAATCTTGACAAACTATATCATTCTAAAGGTCTAAGCCTCAAGCATCGATGGTAGATCGCTGTTTTTCAATGGAAAGCTTATAAAGAATGTATTTGCTAAATTTGTGTAAGCAGTACACATCAAAACATGCATAATTAAAATGTAGTATGTACCAGATTCATCGTAATAACGTGTCATAAACGCATCCACAGCTGTAAATTCCGATTTAGTTAGAAAGGTAAGGGTCCACTGAACAACATCCCATAGAGCACTTTTAGTCCAACAAAGCAATAACGTTGTAATATGAATGGTAATTCCTTTGTTTAGGTCTAATTTTTTCGGGGAGAGTTATTGTTTGTATCCGTTATGGAATAACTTGAGCTCAAAAACGGCATCTTGGTAGTAAAAAGCAACATGGTTTTGTAGCATACAGTGTCATAAACAGAATGAGACCATCCACACACACAAAAAAGTCAAAGATACGCGGAATATTGTTTATTTGAATTCTGGCGCTCTCTCATGATGGCTCATGACGCACGCTGTGACGCACCTGTCATCTGATGGGGGTGTAACTTAGCGATCGGCTTTTTGCACAAATAATTCTTTTTTTTTTTCTTCATTTTTCATATATGTGTGTATGTTTTGTGGGGAATGTGGCTGTATCTACATGATTACCAACTGTATGAGCGCACATCAGCGTGTGTGTGGGGGGGGCTAGACATAATCTCAGAAAAATGGTTGCAGGGATCAAATTTTTCATGGTATCTACTTCAGATTTGAAATAGAAACTCAAGAGACATGTGACTTTCAACCCATTGCATTTCTGGATAGCTCCAGGACTGATTTCATGTATTTTTATATGAAATTTTAAAAAAATCAGTGTGGTAAAATTCTTTTCAAGGCACTTTAGTGTCTATAACTTTTTATCTTTTTGAGCATTATCAATTTTGGATGATGGATAGTAAAGCCCAATGGGTCTTCTTTCCAAAGACACCAAAATTGTGAGTAAAAATGCCGTAAGATGCGGTGGTATGTTTTTGTAATGCCCAAATGATCTGAAAGGCTGTGATCGTGAGCTAACATCAACACATGAGAGCGAAATTGAGTGGGCATGACTATCTGATAAAGTGCATCAGCTTCACTTTCAGAAACCGCTGGCATTCTTTTTTCGCATCAGCAACCCGTCATCCCAAAAATAGGTCTTTGAAACACATCTTCCTTTTTCACAATGGCAGCTCTGCAGCGAGTCAGTGACTTATCATGTTTTTGCGCGTTCGCTAAGGTGAGCCTATCAATAGTCGAATACAGATCAATTTCATCACCAAGTACAGTGGACAGCGACTCAGAGTGCTTACGTTCTATCTCTTTAGGAAGCTCCTGGCAAACGTCAGCGCTGTCAGGGGAAACCAGAAAGCTGTCTGAAAGTTCAACCACGTCACTATATTTACGTGACTGTGCTCGTGTAATCATGCATGCAGGAAGTAGGGAAGTTAGGTTCGAAACTTAGTCTACAACATTTCGTGGTTCAGAAAGCGGATCCTCAACTACTTCAGGGAACAGCAATACCTTTCCACCTGCAAGGTCATTACCAAGAATAACGCAACCACCAATTAATAGGATCCATTAAGGGACCCATGGTCCAAACAAAGAAACAACAATAAAGCAAAATAATTTGTCTAAGAGACGAATATAAAGAGATAAAAATAATAAAGTGTTATTTTTCGTCAGAGAGACCCAAGGCCCAAAATAACAAACAAAACCAATCTAATAAAATAAAACAGCAATGTAGATAACCTGTCACAAAGAAAATAAAAATAAAAACTATCAACCTAACCTAACTACTATTAGCCAAAAAAACATTGTAGAAATGATATTTAAACAAAAAGGCAGGTCTCTCCTACATTACTACCACATTCCAAAGAAAACAAACAATCAAAAGAAACACTCAAAATCACTAACAGTACATTTTGGTCTGGTGGCTGACAGGGAGTCTGGATCAGTGCGACCGGCCCGAAGTCGCACCGCTCACTTCTGAAGAACGCAAGAGGCGTTTTAAAAGGACTGCCCGCTGATCACCCGGTCACGCTGATAGGTGGCAACACTCTTAGCAAATCAGCGGCGATCTGAAACTTAAAAAAGAAAACATCCAACAAAACACAAATGTTATGAAAACACAATGAAAAAAACATCATAACGTAACAGTGTAGCACACTGTTGTCAGGAACTGTTACCATTTTAAGGTAGGTAGGTCATTTTCAGCTGTGAGTCCCAAAATGGGGGGTGCAGGTTAACAGGTTAAAAGCCTTTATGGTAAGGGTGACGTGTTGTTGCATCGTCCCCTTTCTCTGAGTTGGGTCTGGCCCCGGTTACTTTGGGCCGCACTCTCCGCATATTCACTTTCTAGACAGTGTGTTACTACTAAGTTTCCCTGGGTATCTTGAGATCTTCGGTAGCTCGTTCTTAGAGCAGGAGGTAGTCTCTGTTTGACAGGCCAGGATATGGGATTGTAAGCAGCCCTGATACTCGGCCATATCCCCTTAAAGGAATCCTTGGTTATTTTTTTTATTCCAGGCTTGAGCTTTGCCCTGGGCTCGGGCTTTATACAAGCCAGCACTTACAGGTAAGTTTGGTGCACAGCTCAGGCCTTTGGCCGTAGGGGGTTATGTCACTGACAGCCGTCAAACGCCCTAGGGGCAGCTCCTTTGACTTGTAGAGTTGGTACTTAGTGCTCGCCGTGATATTGGCATACACTCCCCTCAGCATGGCAGCGTGGGTATACCGTTCCCCATGGCGACCCCTAGAGGACGCAGTTTGAAGTTCCTTCGGAAGGGAACGTCTCGGGTTACGTATGTAACCATAGCTCCCTGAGAAGGGAACGAGACACTGCGTCCTCTAGTCTCCTCGCCATGCTGTGGACATAAGCTTCAGACGAAGAAGCGAATTACGTGTTCTACATAATAAGCTGTCGCCAGCCAATATCATTGTCGTGTTTAGATGTATGCTTCAGACACCGGTCACGCCGAAGGATGCAGTGTCTCGTTCCCTTCTCAGGGAACCATGGTTACATACGTAACCTGAGATGTTTTTTTATGATTGTTTGCTGCCTGACCCGACCTTTGCCTGTTCTGTGGATTTTTGACATTTGCCTCTGCCTTGGATTATAGTGTTTGCTGTTGCTTGACCACTCTTTTGAATAAAGCCTGCACTTCAATCCACTACTGTGTTGTCACGCCTCCCCACGTTACAATGGTAATAGTTGATCAGTTGTTGTTTTAAATGTCATTTGTTATGTTTTTTTTTATGGAAAACCATGGAAAACCTGATCAGCTTATCAGGTATTTTTGATGTAATTGTTATTTTTAAAATGTCAAATCAACTTTAATAAATGTTTGAGTAACATACCAAACATAATTGATAATAGGACCTATTTTGCAACCTTCACCCTGATGGAACAAAAAGGCTGTAAATCATACAGACATGTAGAGTCCCTTTATGTAAACATACAATACTGAACTGATTGTAAACAACTAAACTTATTGTGAACATAAATGAAAAAAATACTTAATTTTACTTCATAATTTCATGCTGCAGACCCAATGTCAATTTCAAGTGACATGTTTTTTTTTTCACTGTCAAGTACCATCAACCAGAGAAAATAAAGAATAGCTTTTCATGTGGCTCCTTGTGTTTGTGCATAAAAGTGAATAGGGAAAACCCCAAATCTAGGAATTGCTTTACTGTGTAGAATACCGGTTACTTCCTAACACACAAAATAATGTCAAATATAGCTTGATTCTACAACTGGGTCAGGCAATGCATTATGACTTTATTTGCCACCGGAGCATGAGGAATACTGGTCTAGGATCCTCTTTTGCTGAAATCTTGTTACTTGACCAGTTTTATTCATGCTCTAAACCACTGGTTTAAAAGAAAATATTTGTCTGACGAGTAGGGCGGGGCCGAGAGCCGTGGTAATGAAGCAAAGCCAGTGGAGTTAATGATAATGAGCGACACGTGCGCCACTCACCGGTCTCGAGTCCCACGAAGGAGCTCCAGAAGGATAAAAGGAGCAGTAACGACAGTGAAGGACGAGAGACGACCAGGCCTGGACTATTTATGTTGTTTTTGTTCTGTTTGTGAGCGGCAGTCATCCGTGAGTGGCTGACACACTATTTTCA